CACAATGCTTAGGATCATTAAAGTATAGGATCACAGCCACCACCAAGATATTCATCCATGGAAATATAGGCGAAACAGTACGTGATTTGCACATCAAAGACATCTTTACAGACACATCACCCAAAGCAGTGATAGTGAAGGCGAAGATAAACAGCTGGGACTACATCAAATTAAAGAGCTTCTGCACAGCAAAAGAGACAATAACAAAAACAAAGAGAAACCCCACCAACTGGGAGAACATTTTTGCACCCAACACTAATGATAAAGGACTGATCACAAAAATCTGCAAAGAGCTGATGAGACTCAACAACAACAAAGAAAATAATCCAGTCAAAAAATGGGCAGAAGAGCTAAAAAGAAATTTCTCTGAAGAGGAAATGCAAATGGCCAACAGGCATATGAAAAAATGTTCAACATCACTTGTCATCAGGGAAATGCAAATCAAAACTACCATGAGATACCATCTTACACCAGTGAGAATGGCACATATTAAAAAAACTAGCAACAACAAATGTTGGCGAGGGTGTGGAGAAAAAGGAACTCTTCTGCACTGTTGGTGGGAGTGCAAACTGGTCCAACCACTGTGGAAAGCTGTGTGGAGATTTCTGGACCTACTAGACATAGAGCTTCCATATGATCCAGCAATTCCACTCCTAGGAATTTACCCAAAGGACACAGAAACATCAATTCCAAAGAACACCTGCACCCCTATGTTTATAGCAGCACTGTTTACAATAGCTAAGCTTTGGAAACAACCCAAATGCCCAAAAATAGATGACTGGATCAAGAAGATGTGGTACATATATACCATGGAATATTACTCAGCATTCAAAAAAGATAAACACATGCAATTTGCAGCAACATGGATGGCGCTGGAAGGGATCATGCTCAGCGAAATAAGCCAAAAAGAAAAAGAAAAATACCGGATGGTCTCACTCATAGCAGGAATCTAGAAAACTTAAATAAGGGACCAGGAAAATGAATAACTATAAGAAAGTGAAAATCAAAATCAACAAAAAACTATGAACCAGAGACACTTTTAGGGGGGCAGGGGCGGGAGGGGAGGGATTGGGGTCAGAATGGGGGCGCTGCAATTGTATGGGGAATATAACAATAAAATTTATTATAAAAAAAAAAAAGATATTCATCCATGGTCCTCCATCATTATTATTTTCATCATATCATCTTCATTCACAGTATCACCAGCACCAGCACCACCACCATCTTTTACAATTCTTTTTTTAATGTTTATCTATTTTTTGTGTAGAAGAACTGGGGTGTAGGCCAGAGGTATGGGGGTGGTGGTGGTGAGAGGATTCACCAGAGACAGAGTGGGGAGCAGAACAGGTCCATCTACTGAAATACACTGCTGAGAGGAGCAGTGGGTGAGACAGGAGAGGTCTGCTGCACCATGTGGGTCAGCTCCCTAGGCCACCAGGGAGGTCCTTACAATTCTTGAATCCTGTTTTAATGTCTACATTTTTACAAGAAAAGCAGTATCATTCACCTTTTTTTTTTTTTTTAATAAATGAGGAAACAGCGAGGTTAAGTAACTTGCCAGAGGTCACGTGATTAATAAGGGTAGTTCTGGGATTCTGGGATTCCAAAATCGGCTCTCAGGCAGTTCCCAGTATGTGCTCACAGATGGCTCTGAATGGACCTTTTTAAAAACTCTTAATAAGCATTTTTTCTTGAATTTCTTGGGTCTCTTAATGGCCTCTCTTGGGAAGCACTTGGGAGGAGTCATTAGAGAGAAGATTCTATTATTTACTGCCAAGCAGTCATCTTTAGTCATTACTGGGACTCAGGACAGGCTGCACATTTGTTTCTTTCAGAAGAGAGCCATATAATGGGGTTCTCTGGAGGAATAGGGTCTCCGCTTTTCCTTCAAATTATACTGCCTAAAACCATCACCACCAGTGATAATTATAGATTGAAATGCCACACTGAGTTCACCATCCAGAGCCTCCAACTTGTGTGTTGTATTCCATTAGAAATCAGTAAAACCTTGTTTCCTAGAACCTATAGGAATACAGCGTACGGTGAAGTTTATGATTAACTGAGCCCAGATTCACCTTCTTCTATTTGATTATTCAGTTTTTCTAGCACCATTTATTGAAAATATCTTTTCCCCACTACTCTGGATACATCCTTTATCATATATCAAGTTTCCATACTTATGGAACTTTTACTGAACCCCAACTGTTTAAATTCCCTATTCTTCCTTCCTTGTGATAATACACTGGCTTAATTTCTGTAGCTGTATAAGTGTTGGTGTCTGATAGTATAAACCCTTTGTATTTTGTATTTTTTTTTCCAAAGACTGCCTTGGATGGTCTTGGCCCTTTGCATTTTCATACATATTTTGGAATCAGCTGTCAACATCACAAAAACGATGCTAAGACTTTAATTTAGATTGCACTAAATCTATGAATCAATTTGAGAAGGTTTTCTATTTTATAATACTAAGTCGACCAGTTATCAGCATGATTCAGTAAATTTAATTTTCCATCAACTCTGTGCTTAAACACTGCTGAGTTCAGTGTGGCTCTTGCCTTTGGAAGATTTGCAAATGGCTAAGCACATACACAAAATAGAATGTACTGTGATAATCTCATCACTAACAATAAGAGCTAATATTTAAGTGCCTATTATATGCAAAACATTATATGCACAAACAAAACATTTTAAGGACTTTGCAAGTCCTTAACTCATTTTCACTGTATACTGATACTTTGAGGTAAGAGCTATTATTATGTTCATTGTATAGATATTTTTAATCTTCACAGGGTCCAAAAATAAAGAGCACCCAGGTCTTGATGGGGAAGTCAGAAGAAACATCACAGAAAGTGGAGAAAAATTAGCTGACCTCTGAAGAAGTTTGCCAGGAATGGAGGAAGTGGAATATTTCAGGCACATAAATAGCATGTGGGGAAAAATAAAGTAAAATATTGTGAGATGAAAGCATATAGTTTTTCAGGAAACTGCTAACAGGTGACTCCCAGGACGAGACATAGTGTGGCAGGAAGTGGGCATAGGCTGGTATCGGTGGAAAGGCAGTGTCTGCAGGCCTTTCAGTCTATGGAGTTTGAGCTTTTTCATGAAGGCAGTCGCTAGGGATTAGTAGGGATTGATTGACTGAAGTTGGGTCCCCCAGAAGTGGACCTGCCCAGCCCTTCCTAAGATTGGTGCCTGAGGGAAATTTCAGTCTGAGCCTGTAGGACCATTTTAAAGTATCAAGTTCCCCTCAGACTTGTCCACACCAATGCAAGGAAGCTGAGCCATTTCTATTAGGCCAAACAGGGGCCAGTGACCAGAACAAAGAGCCACAGGTGCTGGTGCAAACAAAGACATGTCAGCTCCAGCATCACATTAAAATAATAGAAAGGAATTTGAGGTGATCTGGGAGGAGCATTTTTATGGCAGCTTCTATGTGTTCCCTTCCTCCAGAATTGTGTATAATGGCCTTGAAGGCTGTCTCTCTCTGCCCTAGACAGCCTTGTACTTCTTTGGGGCATTCTGTCTGTCTGTGCCTTAGAGACATTATCTCTTTCTCCCTATATCATAACCATCATTTTCTGTTTGCAGTGAAAAGTAATGAAGAATTCCGACTCAGAAGACTGGATCATACAAAGGAGAGATGAGCATAATTGTTGACAAGTCCTTTGAGCTAGATTTCAATGAAAACATGGTTCTCTGGGTAGATTTGGGAAGAAAAAATATGACATAGATTCCAAAGTCAGCCAATTTTAAGCAAGCAAAATAGAAGATTATTCCAGTTTATGCAAAGTGCAATATGGATGTTTCTGGTAGATGAGTGATTCTGTTTGTGATTATTCAGAAGCCCATCATGTAGGTCTACTGTTTTCTCTTGGGACACAAGCATCCTTGATGGATTCCCTCCACTCAGCAGGCAAAGGTAGAAGAAGATGGAATAATCATGAGGAAAGCTTCTATGTGCCAAGAGTAACAGGCTCCCAACACAAAAGAGTGTGTCCTCTAGGGAAAGAATTCACCAGAGAGAGCTAGGTGTAGTTGAACCAGATAAAGCTTTGTTAGAGGCTCATGCATGAGGAAACCAGTGCCAGAAAGGAGAATTTAGCCTGGCTCCATGAATGGAGTTAGGAGGAGACATTTACAAGTCCATGAGGCAGGGAAGAAGAGAACAACATCATAGATTGTTCTGGGTTAGGCTGTGTCTGGGCATGAGCAGGCAGGTTATATTCCAACTACCGTGTGGGCTCTTGGCCTTCTCCCCCCAGGAAATTGTGAGATAATCATTAGTCAAGATCTAATGCTTTTGTCTAGCATAGCACCTTATGGTCAGTGTGGTGGGCCAAATTGTTTGGACAGGATGTTGGGACAGAGCTCACCAGTCCATGATTTGGTCCACCTGTTCAAACAGTACATGGGGCAACTCTTACCATATTGGATCACAATTTCTTTTGCTTATACTGTATCAAAGGCTTAAAGTGTCATGCAAGATATCTGTCCTGCCTTTCTACTGGCAGAACTGGGGTGCAAGCAGACCTAACTGCAAGGAAGACTGGCAGTTAGTGTCCACAAGAAAAAGAAAATGTGTTTTGGAGAATACAACCTGTGCCACAAAGAGCATTCTATAGGAGTCTGTGCTGTGAACAGTTAGACTTCTCTTGGGACAATCTCATGGAAGTATAATATTAGATAACTGTTAAGATTGGAGGTTCTGATCATGGACTGTCTGTATCAAATTGTGGTTCCTGGGAGACAGTTCACCATACTTTTGGTTATTTCAAGAAATAATGAGATAAGAGTTCAAACATTTAGCAGGTTCTAAAATGAAGAGAGAGCCACACAGAGTGAGTGGAAATTTCACTACTCAACTGGACAAGCCTTTTCTACTGTCCACTTCCCCTTCTACCCATAGGTCTGGGATGTTGATAGAAAACTTATGTCCATCCATTTGGCAAATGGATGACATTTGATTCCTATGCATATAATTTATTTTCTTCTCTCCACAGTGACACTTTCAGCTGCTACTCCCTCCTACTTTAGAGGATTCACATTAATTGCCCTCAAGGAAAACAGAGAGGGTGATAAGGAAGAAGACCATGCTGGGACTTTCCAGGTAAGACCCCTTCTGGGCTTATCCAGTGGCCCTACCTTACCCTGATAAGCAGGAAGAAACCAAGTAAAAGGTGAATACAGAGGAAACTGAGTGAAGGGAGAAGCACAAGTGTTGAGGTGACTCTCGTGCCTTTCCCATGACCACCGACTGGGCTGGCCACGATACTGTGAAAGACCCACAATGGAGTAGGTCACAGACGCTTCAGTCTATCTTAAGGCCATCAGAACTGACCCGCCCCCCGGCAGGCCCACATTGCACAGCCATCTTGGTGCTCTCCTCTGTGCTCCTCTGGGCTCCTGGTGCTGTGCCTTGGGGCAGCAGACTGCATCCTGGTGAGAGTGCTGGGGGCTGCCTGTTTTCCCTGCATAGCTATTTTGTGATTGGCAATTCTCAAGTGTACATGGAACAAGAGCTTAGGATGGCCAGATTGGAGGGAGTTCAAAGTACAGAAGAAGGACTATTAAGGGAATGAAGAGATTGATTTATGAGGGAAGATTAAAAGAATTAAACATGCTTTGCTTGGCTAAATGAACAGGGCCAGGTTTAAGAGGTGGTAATGGTCTTTAAATGTCAGTCCTCGTAGAGCAACCTCCTCCAGGGGAAGCTTCGTTTGACTTTACAAAAGGGCACAGCAAGACAAAAGTAGGTCAAGAGAAGAAAGGGAATCTCAAAGTCAAGGGCCCTGACAGTGAATCATGTTTCACTGTGGAATATTTTTCCAAGGGACGTGGCGGGAACATCATCCCCTTGCAGAGGTTTAGAAAGAGGCTGGCATGTTGTCAGAATATGTCTCAGAGGGATTGGGGAGATCCTGACCAAATTTGCTGTGACCACTTCTCATTTCAACTTTCCATTGTTCTGGAATCCTTTTTATTTTTTTTTTTCTGGCATTTGCAAACTCAGAAGAAAAAACCTCTAGAAGAGAAATACTTAAATTCATAGCTGGCTACAGAAGACTCTTGTTCAATTTATGGGTTCCACAGAAGATCCCGCCCCCAAATAGCTTCCCCATCCAAGGTATCTTTAAATTCCTTGAGGCCAGGTTGTAATTTTGAATCTTGTGATTTTTAAAAAAATGTCCATTGTTTAAAATTTTATGCTTCTGTTTAGTGGGTCAGTTCCTTCCATGCTCATGTACCTAGAAAGCAAGAACTCTTGGCGTGAATCTCAGGAAGTCACTCAATAATAATAATAATAATAGCCAATATGTACTGGGTCCTTACCATCTTCCAGACAGGAGACTAAGTGCTTTACTTTACCTTAACTTATCTCATCTTAATTTAATTCTTATATACTTCCTTAATTTAATTCTCAAAACAATTCTCTAAGTAGATAGAACCTATTATCCCTATTTTATAAATAGAAAATTATTAAAATGGGAAATTGAAACTAGAGAGATTAAATAACTTTTCCAAATGGCTGGTAAATAGTAAGGTCAGTCTTCTCTATCAGGTATCTGGTTGCAGAAACTAAATTGCTTTGTTGTAGTACGAAACAAGCTCCTACCCAGTTATGTTTGCACAGTATATTGGTTGTCATTATAGGGAAGGGAAGATTCATGCAGGCGTTCAGCTCATAAAGAACTCAGACACAGCCCCTCGTTGTACTAATTTACCTGGAGGTCTAGATGATTTATCAGATTTAGGCAGCTGAGAGATCTGGATTCCTGAGCAGTAGGAGAAGTAAAGATCCTGAAAAGATGGAAAGATTGTAATCTTAATCATCACCCCAACAAGATTTACTGCTTAAAATGATGCTTAGAGGTGGGGCCTCCAAGGTGGTGCAAGGGGTTAAGCACTGTACTATGAAGCAATCTGCAGCATGAGTGCGATGAGTGCGATTCCCAGCCGGCCAGGGAGTTACCCCCATGGTGAGGCAGACCTCTCCTGTCTCCCCCGCTGCTCCCCTCAGCAGTGTACTTCAGTCAATCTGCCTGTTCCGTTCCCCACTCTGTCTCTGGTGAATCCTCTCACCCCCTGCATCTCTGGCCTGTACCCCAGGGGTTGTATGCATAAATAAATAAATCTTTAAAAAAATAATGCTTAGAGGTATATAACTGAAAGAATTGGAAGCAGGAACTTGAACTGAAATTTGTACACCCATGTTGAGCAGCACTATTCATAATAGCCAAAAGGTGGAAGCAACCCCTAAGTCTATTGATGGACACAGGGATAAACAAAATGTGGTCCACGCAGACAATGGGATATTATTCCTCCTTCAAAAGGGGGGAAATTTGGATTCATGGTATAACACAGATGAAATGTGAAATATCATGCTAAGTGAAATAATTCAGTCACAGACAAGTACCCACTTATAGAAGGTACCTAGAGCAGTCAAAGCCATGGTTGCCAGGGAGTGTGGGGGAGCAGGAAATAGAAAATTATTCTTGGGGAACAATTCATTGTAAACAATACATAGTTTGGGATGATGAGCAGTCCTGGAGATAGTAATAATGACTGCACACAACGAATGCAGTTAGTGTCACTGAACTCCACACTTAAAACAGTTAAACAAGTAGATTTTAGAGTATGTATATTCTGCCACAATGAAAGAAAATGATGCCTGCATTCAGCCTGATAGGGATCCAAGGGTGGGGGCGGGTGTCTGGGCATGCTAACACCTCTGCTACCAGCAGTGGGTCCAGTGTGGCAGATTTTGGAGAGACTGGAGTATCTGACTCTGGCTGCCAGAAGGGAGAGACACAAGATTCTCTCTTTGATGAGCTAACTGCATGTTCTCATGGTAATTGAAAGTGACAAGGAATGTAGGGTTGGAACACTGTACAAAAGCGATGCCGCAAACCTTTACAGTTGCATTGCTGAAAATGAATGACTCCCTGGAATGCTCATGGCCCAGCCAACAGCCCACTCATTCATTTACCTCCTTCAGGCCTCTGCTCAGATGTCCCTTTCCTGGGTGACCACCCCGATCTTCACCCCATCCCTACCCAGCAGTTCCACTCTCTTTCCTGTTGCTTTTATTGGCACTTGATGTGCTATTCTTTTACTGGTTGATTTGAGTATTATCCTCCTCTTCCACTAAATTATAAGCCTCACGAGGAGGGGTTTTTAATCTGCCTTATTTGGTGTTATATCCCCAGCACCTTGAACTCTGTTCCATAGACAGGCACTCAGATATTTATCTACAGAATTTTGAGTTGCTAATTTATAGTGTCATGCTTTATTTGATTTCTAATTTAAGGCCTATAGGTATCAAGTACTTTAGTTAACAGTCTGCTGGCCAAAGGCAGAAAGCTTCATTATAAAGTGATGTTTGCCTGAGAAAACCCTCTATTAATACTATACAAGCAGGTATCTCTTAATAACTAAGTATCCTGTATCCTTAATCACCTGCTTCTAAACTATTTTCATTATCTCATGAACAATAAATATTTACTAGTATCGAATGGGTCTGAGTCATGAGAGAAGCTGAAAGTTTTGACACACTTTTCCAGAAATAAAATGCTACTGCAAGCGTGTTCTTAGCAACTCTCTTAGCTCAAAGGAAACCTTTTTCTTGTTATACTCATCTAACTTAACCATACCCTTTATAAGATATTAGAGTTTTTCAGTCTGCTGTTCAGCATGATAAATAATGGAGTAAAAACTGTGTCTTGCACAAAATTCTTCTTATTTAGTATTATTTTGCTAAAATAGATTCCCAAAAATGTAATTACAAATGCAAGAGATAGGAACATTTAAAAATTTTTGATATAGGTTGCAAAGGTTACCCCAGTCCCGACCCACCCCATCCTGAAAAAAACTGCACTCAGCACTCCTTTCAACAACCTGAATAAGTCAGCAATGGTAGCCACGCCCACTGATATTTCCATATCAGAACTGGACATCACAGAATTTAGGCAGGCCAAATCGATAGTCCAAGGCTACAAGATGAAAGCTAGTGGAGGATCACAGAAAGTCACGTACTTAGATCCAAATAACCAGGTGCTCAGTAGCAATAAGAGCGATTTGGAATTGTGATAGCATATTAAACTAACAACAGCAAAATACCTTATGTTTTTTTACTTGCGTGTACATAAGTTCAGAATGAGCCATCCATGAGATAGGACCACAGAAATGAGGTCTTAGGATGCGTCATAAAAGCATGAACAAAGAAGCTAGACTGTTTTATGGAATTCTTAATCCATCTAAAACACTGCAATGAGCACCTAGCACATAAATCTTTGTCAGCATCTATGAGTATGTCTTTATTATTAATTTCAAGAATCAAGTAATTGAAGGCTCTGCGTACACACACACACACACACACACACACACACACATTTATGTTATCTATTGGCCCCGCTATTTCTGAGCTGGTCATTTAGAATTTGACTGAGTCAGTAGTGTGCACACAGATTTTAAAGACAACAGAAAATATATCTACTTTTTAGAATGACCTTCCTATTTAAAAAAACCCACATATCTCATTATTCTTCCAATTCTAGCTTAGTTGTCTATTCAGAATATACCGTGGCTGTGTAGAAAGAATGTGAGTTTTGGAGTCAGCAGACCAGGGCTCAGATTTTGTCTCTACCAGCTAAATGAAGAAATCACTTAATTTCTCTCAAACTTCATTCCTTCATCTTTAAAATAGAGATGATAAAGGATGTTTTGGATATCAGATGAGATAAATGCCCAGCACGCTGCCCATTGTCGCCTCTTCCATCTGAACTGCAAACTAGGGTTCCCTTGTGCCTGTGTCACATCACTCACAAACCCCACTCCTCTGCAGACCGGAGCAGATGTGTCATCTTAGGTATAATGACCAGCTGTTTGAATACCAAGGGAGGGAAGAAACAGGCTTCCCTAATTCTCCCTTCATTGTAGTGTGATTGGCAAGGCTATAAAGTAAGTAAAAAACGAAAGCATTGCTGGATACACGATACCCAGTAAATAAAAACAAAACTCTGTTCCATATGGGTGCTGGGTGGTTGGCTGGACTCAATTACTGGCTTTTGACCTACTCCCACACAGCAGCGCCCCTGAAAATGGAGTTTA